AAAAAAAAAAAATTGAGGATTTTATTTGTAATTAACTTTGCTTTGTGGTCGGGCTCATGTTAATCTGATATTGGCTTTGTATTAGGTGAATCCTGTGCCATCTTCGACTACACCGACCTCAGTTCCAGATACTATGAATACAAATCAGAAAATGCTCTCCCCTATTATATCACCTGCATCAACAAACCAAGGAACAACTCAGCCACCACCTCCACAAGGACAATTACCACAATATCCTCAACAATGGATTCCTCCAAATCAAGCTCACGCTCCAACGTTTTTTCCAACCTCTTCCAGCCCGTCTGCTCCCTTAATTGCCCAAGTGTCTTCCTCGCCTCTTACTCCCACAGCAGCAATGCCTTCGCTATTCGGGATCCGACCAGCCATAGCATCAAGTTTTAGTCCCGACTTGCAAAACCCTTCTGTTTTTCCTTCCAGACCTCAGACTGCTGTGCAGCCACCGTACATGCCTCTCGGCCAAACAGAAGGGCCTAGAAATATTCCTGGGCCTTCCCTATCTGGGCTTTCTTATAATGTACCTTCCCATGGACATAATAATAACGCCATGGCTCCTCAGGACATGGTTGTATCCATGGCCCCAACAGTGAGTATCCCTAACAAGATGGCCATGCCACAGTTTGGCCCGCCCCAGCCCGAAACTCTACACTTTACAATTCAACCCTCTGTGGCCCAACCAATTCGTCCTGGAGGTCAGCCTATGCCTTTCCCTCAATCTTCAGCACCAAATTCTATCTTCAGAGATTCTCAGAGTTTTGATACTGTAAAACCTAGTCAGACAAGACCTCAGCAATCGGGTTCTGGCGATTTCACTTTTCAGCCCCACAATCGCCCGCCAAATGCAGCTTCTCAGGTTTGGCAAAGCAATCAACTGGCTCCTTACAGTGAGAGACCCCACCACCCCATGTTGAGGCCAGGGATGGGTAATTTGAACCCCTCGGTTGTTCAGGGTTTTCCTAGGCCTCAGATTAATCACCCTAGGGCTCTGATTGAAATGAACTTTGCTGGAAACCCGGCTGCCCCTCATCCTCACCTGATGATGCCTACAGCTTCACATATGCAACCGAGGAATTTTATCCATCAGCCCCCCATGAATAACCGGCCTGGCCCTTTTCCAACGAGACCAATGCACATTTTGGAAAATCCCGTCCGGCCACACCAAAGGTTTTCAAGTCCATATCAGCATTTTGGGAGCCAACCTGGACGACCGTTTTCTGGGCCGTCTGGTGGCCAGCAAGTATATGATCCTTTCTCTCCTAGTTCGGTGCCTTTTAATCCTCAAATGCGTGGTAAAATGAGGGCACAGGGGGGGAGTGATCCAGAGTATGAGGACCTCATGGCTTCTGTCGGTGTTCAATGAAATATGTTTCCCCAAATGATTTTTACGCGGGGTCTGTTGAGATGTGTACTATATCTTGGGCTAGTAAAATGTAGATAGGATTTTTTTCTTAGTGTGTTTTGCGTTGTCATCGACGAGTGCATGAGCCTTGATGGCCGGAAAAGAGTATGCTTCTTGGTTAGTATTGTAATACCTCAGCGTTTTTGCTAAACTTGATCATGTCTCAGCTGATTCAGTCGTTTTATCAAATTGCACACGTTGATTGATCATCTGCTTATCGGGGTTACCCAGCTGATTCTAGTCATTTAATCAAATTGCAAACATATTTTTAAATTAAGATGATTTTTTTTTTTTTTTTTTTTTATTTATTATTTTTTTTCTCAAAGGCAGTAATCTTATAAATAGTTTTTTGACATACATATTACTTCTATTTTCATCTCATGGTTATTGTTTGACTTTGTTGTAGCAGTAATATGAGGCCCATAAGTAGATGTATTAGGTTACGAAAGCCTCTAAGAAAGTTTTTTCATGGGGGCAGTTGCGAATTTGATATTTTTAATTGTGCTTCATTGGACGGACGGCTGGAAATTACACTTTGTGTGAATATATATTACTCTCATGTCTTAGCTATGTATGATGTTGACTAAATTCCTGTTCAGGTGGTGGTTCTCCACCAAAACCATGGGAAAGAGCTGGGTCTCTATCCAGAGCTGCACCATTTGTAACATCCCACTTTGATTTTAGAGAAATTCCGTATTTTCCAAAAACTAATTAAATATTTTTGACTCATTTTCGAATTATGGGCATTACTAAAAAATTTACATAGATCAAGTCATGTCTGATCTCACGGGTTTCATTACCCGGTTTCGCATAGTTTTAATTAACCCAATTCACAACGTCTCACATGAATATTCAGCTTAACGCAACAACATGAATAATCGAAAACAACATGATATCCAATTAAACACGTCTCATGAATATCCAATCCAACATGTTTCAAACCAAACTAACCAACAAAGGGGTTTCAAAACATTCCAAATCTCAACATCTCAATATGAGTTTGAAAACATTCTCAACATGTCCAATAACCAAACAAGGTTCAAAATGACCACATGAACATTATTCAAAAGCGGAAGCTAAAAACATAAATATATAACCGACCCACTCGCTCCTTTCTCGTCATGCTCATCAACTTGCTCAATCTGGTGGAGAAAAGTGGGGGTGAGCACAAATGGAAACCGTTGTGCTCACCACTATGCACGTAAAGAACAATATATATAATGTAAAGAAGGGTATAGTCGCAGCATGAACATAAATCAATAAAATATTCCATCTCCTATCATAATAAATACTTATGTGCACATCTCTATAAACCTACTGAGTGTCTTCGTATCGATTGCCTCTGTACAGGCCTTACATCGTCACCCACTCAGTAGGAGTATCTGTGGACGGTCAAGGCCCAGCCTTGGTCTTACAACAACATACATATCGAAAGCCTTCGACCACTACCCTGGTCTTACATACGATATGGCCTCCGTACAGGACTTAGGTAGACTGCCCAAAATGGGCCCGTACCACGTAAACGGGGATAACCGTTCAACGGTCGATACAACCCACATTGAAGGCTACATGGTTCACATGCATACATTGATCATACCAACCCAAACAATACACATAATTCACGGCATAGATATTTAGAATAACCCACCTGGATACCAAAGTGGAGAATCACACACAAAGCAGGTACGTAGGTCGAGGGTTCGACTCCTCAAACACCTACATAATCAAGATAGTCCTATCAATAACTATCCCAACACTTAGAATACAATAATAACACTCACTTAGCCGAAACCGTATCGACTAAGTGATTCGTGTAAATTTCTAATGGAATTTGTATCTCGGTTGACCGTCTAGACTGGAAAAACCAATTAAACATCACTTAGAACACATAAAGCATGCAAAACATAGTGAGGAGTAAATAAGAAGTCAACCAAGTTTGAGAAATATCCAAAACAAGACTCGGTTGGGTGCTGCCGGAAAAAACAGACTAGTATTGATAACTACCGGATCTTTTTAAAAATCACTTGACCATTTTCAACGAAACTTTACCACATATTAGTACACCCAAAAAAACACATATACACCATATATCAGCCCTTAAACCTCATCTTAGCCCAATCAAATAGTTTTTACAAAATTTCAATTGTAGAGTGGAATTTCGAGTTTTCCAGTTAAACCTTCGAATTTTTACATGAAATTTTGACACAACCAACATGATAACAGAATAATACACACCACAACATTTTACATCAAAATTCATCAGAATCGATTTTATATTGAATTTATAAGATTCTGACCAGAATTCAAAATCAACAGTTCACATAGCTACAGGCCGAGTTTCAATCCGATAATTTTACACAACATAACACATCAACAGAGAGAAACTAAATATAAAATTTCAAGTAATTTGGCCTAGTATTCAATTTATCATAATTTTTACAAAATCCAGCAACACGATCATTTTCAAAAATTCATAACTCGATAAATATGCATCGAAACAACTTGAGGATTTTTCCAACATGTCAAGGACACATTAAAGCACTAAAAAATCTTGGGTTTCCATGAAAAATATACACGTCCTTCAGTTTTGACAATAAACAGAAGAGACGAACGATATAACGGTATAAATTCATCTCATGTGATATCTCCCACATAATATAAATCCAAAAAGCAACTAAAACACCTTATAACATCATTAATACACACATAATCAAAGGGGAAGATTCATATTCAACATGCTTAATCATCACTACCACATAAGATCATTTAGGCTATGTTTGGTTCAAAGGAGGGAAGGGGAGGGGAGGGAATTTAATGGAAGGAGGGGAGGGAAGGGGAAGGGAGGGAAAGTAATTTTACCTTGTTTGGAGGGATTTTGTAGGAGGGGAGGTGAAGGAAAATGATAACCTTATTTGGTTAGAAGATGAAGGGAGAGGAAAAATAAAATTACATGGACAAATATCCCCTTATTTATTATATAATATTATATTTACAAGACATAAAACTCGAGGGGTATATTATGTAATTATAATGAATTGAGAATGATATATTAGTACAAAAACTTATAAGATTTAACTTCCCCTCCAAATTCACCCAAAATTGGAGGGGATTTGTTTTTCCCTCGTCTGGGAGAATGGAGGGGAAGATTTTACTCCCTTCCTTGCCAAAGGATAAACCAAACAGTGGAAAATAAAAATATTCCCTCCTCTCCCTTCCCCTCCCCTCCCCTCCCCTCTACTTCCCCCGAACCAAATACAGTGTTAAGAACACATAATTTCATAATACGAACAATTTATATTTAACCCTAATCATGCATATAACTAGGGTCTCAAGCAATACACATAATTTACACATAACAACAGCGGGGTTCGAGCCAATGAGTACCGTTCTCACAAAAATTACACTAGAAAGACGAGAGATGGCTGAACGTTGGGCACTCGGTTGCGATACACGGTAGTTTTCAGCTCTCGTTTCTGGGAAAAATGGGCTCAATCTGCAACAGCCCGATTATACTTGATCTGCTCTGTTGTCTGTCGGACACCCGGTGGTCGTTGCTTATTCTCAGCCGCTTACAGAACCAACCTCGTTACACCTGGTGTCTGGAGGTATGCTCTCAGTCGGACGTCGTCGTCCATCAATGTTTGGTCCTCAGCCGCAGTTGCTCTCGACGGCCCCTCTGTCCAGCGGTGTCCGTAGATGGCTGTTCGCGGATAGGGTCATCGGCTCTCTGTCCGTGCGGTAAATTTCTTCTCAGACTGCTGAAATGGTCTCGCCACGTTGCCGGAATCTGCTGTTCGGGCTTGGCTTCTTGCGTTCGCTGGGCGGCGAAAGCCGCGATAGGCTCAGCATGGTTCTCGCGGTGGTCGGAGACTGAGAGAGAAGAGCGATTTTGATGTGGCGATTTCGTTGGAGAGCTTGCGAGAGGATTTCTGGCTTTTTCACGCGATCGAGAGTGAGGGAGAGATTACAAGATTGTCTGCGGATTTGCGGCGTGGAATATAAGGAGAAGGGTTTCTCATGTTTATAATTATACTAGGTCATGGAAAACAACTTGCCAATCAAGAAAAGAAAATAGAGGACCGGGCATGCGAGTCTCGGTTCTGTGCGGGTTCACGGGGCTTGGCGCTCGGGCCGGTTCTCTAAGGTCTGGCTAAAACAATGAAAGGCTCGTTATATCGTCAAACGATCGGGAATCAAATAAATAATCCGGTAATATATATATATATATATATATTATTTATATATATATATATATATATATATTACACATAATTATTTATATAATAATTAAGCAATTAATGACAATTAGACAATTAAATCGAATAATAATAATAACAACATAAAATAATAATCCAAAAAATCCATAAACAAACGGGGCATCACACCATTCAAGCCACCCTCTGCTATGAACTCAAGTGACGTAGTAGAAGCTTTTGGAACAGCACAATCGGGTGTAGTTGTTACTACTGCTAATAGGTAGAGCACGTGGCTGTTAATAAGAACACACACCAAAACAACGCAATTGAGTGAAGTTGCTACAACTGCGTTTAAGTAGGTCAGTTGCATGCAGGTCGCGGGCTAACTTGTTCCTCGATAACTTTATTACTGCAATCGCTGTGCATTTAGCCGTGTTTGATCCAGATAACATGGATATGTGACCCGTTCCTGCTCGTGATTTGCGCGTGGGTATGCTAAAGAGGGTCGAGGTTTCAGTCAATGGTGGCCAGAAGAAAAAAGAAGGTAGGTTGTAACGCCCCACTTTGATTTTAAAGAAATTTCTAACTTTCCAAAAATCAATAAACATTTTTCGAACTCATTTTCAAAAACAAGGGCATTACTCAGCATTTACATAGATTAAGTCGTGTCTGATCTCAGGGGATTCATTACCCTGTTTTTCACATGGTTTCATTAACCGATAAACAACAATTTAACCGGACATTCACAAGACACATCAAACCTGA